CCCCAAAACCCCAAAACCCCAAAACCCCAAAACCCCACTTTATTTTAATGGTGTTGATAAATTCAATAATATTTACAACCATGAACATGTTGTTCAAGAATACTTTGACCAGAAATACCTTATTCAAGCCATCATTTATGAGGTTTTGTAGTACGAAAATCGGACTAGAGTTTGACCCTCATGTAAAGAAGCACGTTTCAAACCTCTCAATCAGTAACCCTCAAAGTCTAACTATTTTAGATATCTATCGAAATTTGAAGGAAGCAAGTGTCAGGACGGATGAACTGAATCAGCAAATCATGGATATGGCAGAATCACAGAGTAATTTCCTTAATTAATTCTAGTGAATGTGAACCCAGAGAATATCATTAAAGAAATTGCAAGGATCTCTGGAAGAGTCTCCATGTTCAAAGAGCTAGATGAGTCCTTCCAGACTATCAAAGACTGTGAGGATATCCTCCAGACTGAGGAAGACTCTGAGCTCAAGGAGATGGCTCAGGAAGAACTTGAAGAAGCTATTGAAGAAATCGAAGAGACTCAGGAGAAAGCAGTCCAAGAATTGGTCCCTATTAGTGAACTTGATGAGAAAAATGTAACCCTTGAGGTTAAAAGTGCAGCTGGTGGCTCTGAATCAGCCCTTTTTGCAGACGATTTAAAAGGCATGTATGAAAGCTATTGTAGAAACCAAGGATGGAGATGGACTCAAAAACACTTCAGCAATGATGCTACTACTGGGAAAGGCTGAAAATACGGCAAGTTTGAGATCATTGGCACTGATGCTTATGGATCTCTGAAGCATGAAATTGGAGTTCATAAGGTTCAAAGAGTCCCTGAAACTGAAAAGCAAGGAAGGATACACTCCTCAACAGCAATTATTATTGTGATGCCGATTATCCCAAGCACATTTAAAATTGACCCTAAAGATATCAGGATAGATACAATGAGAGCAAGTGGTGCTGGTGGACAGCATGTAAATACAACAGATTCTGCTGTCAGAGCTACCCATATTCCTACAGGAATCATTGTTGTGAATAAGGATGAGAGAGACCAACATACCAATAAGGAAAAAGCTCTTGAGGTCATGAGGGAAAGAGTCTACAAGCATTATGCTGAAATTGAGATGAACGAGATCAGGTGAGTCTTCTTCATTATGCTCTTATAGGAAGGAAAGAAGCTCCCAGATGGGAACAGGAAATTTAGGTGAGAAAATCAGAACCTACAACTGGCCTAATAATAGAATCACAGACCACCGGAGTGGTAGCCAAAAGTTCGGTATTGACTCAATGCTTCAAGGAATTTTGTTGGAAGAATTCATAGAAGAGCTTAAGGAGAAAGAAAAAGAGGACTTAATCCAAGCTGTACTTGAAAAGAATAAGCAGTAGAATATCAATTTTTGATATATATTTTGGGGTTTTGGGGTTTTGGGGTTTTGGGGTTTTGGGG